GAGTAGAAAAATATTTGAATAAATTGATTATAGATATTTTTATTTAACTTTTATAGGGTAATAAATTTGTATTGAATTGATATTCAATTAATTTTTGTGAAATTACTCCACTAGTTTGTTATAAGTCGGCATAGCATCTGGCACGGTTTGTTAGAAGACGTCGGTTCGAATCCGGTCGGATCGAAGGAATTTTTTCTAAATGTTTAATATTTGTATTAATAATTTTAATAGAGCAATCAAATATTTTGAAAAATACCTTGATCCTTAGACATTTTTGATGTGTGTTCAAGAAGTAGATAGCACATTCGACCTGTGTTTGGACAATTTTAACTGCCTCGGTGGCAGAACGGTTACCATGCTGGTTTGCCACGCAGAGGGTTCAATCCCAGGCCGGGAGAAATATTTTTATTGCCTACATTTAGTTCTCACGTGAGTTTGTCACGTGTGTAATTTGTGTTTGTATATGTGTGTGTCCGTAACAACCGCGACACAGGGTTTCCCTAGTGTAAAACCATGAGTGTGTGTGTTATTTATTTATTTAATTTAATAAGTACCTATTTAGCCATGTAAAACTAAAGTACTACAGAGTCATTGAAAACATGAAAGATAAATTAAATATGATGACTGTACATTGTGCATAACCAGACGGCGCTTTTTCGATACCTCCCAATGAACATTATTTTTTGGTCTTTTTCTGTTGTTTTTGTAAAAAGCCCAAAGTATTTATTTACTAATATTAGACTCCCCAAATTTTATGAAAAAGAAAATAAAGAAACAAAACACAAAGTGAAAGCTCCAAAAATTAAGTTGGTGTTGTGGAGAAAACAAGAATACATGAATATTCGCTGAAAAATGTAGTTAACAATGCAGGTCTTATAATATTATATTAGATCGTACATTTTACCAAATTTTGGCTTGCGAATATTTTATACAATGCTTATTTCACTTTTATAAGTAGCATGCATTAAACTTAAATGAAAACAATAACATAAAATGAAAACTATAACATAAAATGAAAACAATAACATAAAATGTAAAATTTATATGTATTGTCATTTATATATTATAAGTTTCCGGAACTGGCCACTTACAATAACAATATTTAAAAAGTAATTACAACATTTGAAAATGGAACTCTTTGGCTGTAGAATACAGTTTGTTTCATCTGACTGTCACTTGTTTTTACATTGTGGCGTCATTTTAGAAATTGACCTAAGAACTCGATATTTTAGAAATTGGTTTTATTTCTTCTCTTCTCTTCTTATAGTACAAACATATTGCTAACATAATATATCTAGACGCAATAGTTGCTGAAGTCAAAATACATTGTAAATTAAAATACTGTAAAGTTATAATACAAGCAATAACACATTATTCGTAAATAGTAAACAAATTCATGTCAAGGTAATACAGAAAATAATAAAGTAAAATGTCATGAAGTAAAATTAATAAAATGTCAGATTAAAAATTAAGATTATAGTAGAGCTAAACTTAAATTCAAATACTGCTGGATCTGGTCAATGTTTCGAGGTAGAGTCCCGTGGAGAATATAAACTTAGACTCACAACAACACAATTGAATTGAATATGTCTATCGAGGAGTCGGAGATAAGCAGCTGATTAATTAGTTTAAGCGCCCGAGGGAAAGGAGCTGACTTACTGGATCTACACCGAGTAATAGGCAGGGCAAACAATCGTTGTCTAAGTGGTCGCACTGCGCATGACCGCGGAACATAGAAACCTATCATTGCCAATAAACAAGGATTATAAGAGGATCTGCGCACTCGACGGAATATACATGGTGTAAATTTGTAATGCCACTTGGAAGGAAAGTACGCTAAATACTGGAGATAGAAATTTTTACTTAAAGGAAACATTCCTTTATTTTTAAAAAGAAATAATACTGCATTCAAAGATTTTCGAAAATTGCTAGCCACACGCGGGAATCGAACCCGCTAAAATCTTGAAAAAATGCAGCCTGTACTTTTATTAAATCAATCAATTATGAGAATGAAATTTCTCTTACAAACCATGAAATCTGGAGTTATAAATTCAGTGGGTCAAGTTAGTTAGTTAGTTTTTGTGAGGATATGTTAAAAATCAAATTTACTTTAAATCCTATGCGAGTGTAAACGAGTTGAAGGCTGAGGTTCAGAATACAGTCTGTAATACAATTCATCACAACACGTTATTAAAAGTTAATCAAAATTAAATCGTTAAAAGATTAAATTTGTGTATCCAAGAAAATGGAGGTCATTTCGAGCAACTAATTAGATTAGATTACCATTTTTTTCGTTTTATTAAAATGCGTTAAGATTTCATGGGTTTTTTTTTTCCATTTAATTAACCAATTTTGTGAGAGAGATTTTATTCTTATAATTAACCCTATCGATCGATGCAATAAAAGTGCAGGGCGCATTTTTTTCAGATTAAAGCGGGTTCGATTCCCGCGTGTTGCTAGAAATTTTCGAAAATCTATGAATGTAGTTTTATTTCTTTTAAAAAATAAAAGAATGTTTCCTTTAAGTAAAAATTTCTATCTCCACTATTTAGAGTACTTTCCCTCCAGGTGGCATTACAAATTTCCACCCGGTAGTGAGAGACAGGTTTCGTCTCACCTCCAGCGTGCGGTACTCAACCATACCCAAAATAAAAGTTGTGGGGTACAAAAGTGTTGTCTACATCACTATGGATTTAACTCGTGAAAATTTTCGTAGTATGATGATATGATATTTCGTAGTACATTTTATGTTGTCAAGTAAAAATCATGAATATTGTAATAGCATTTTGAGTAACTAACAACTTATGCAATTTAATTTCAAATCATCTATAATTTAATTCTTTAAGAGCATTCGGTAATTTATTAAATAATTTGAGTGCTAATACGAACATCGTTCTACTGTAAAATTCCAAATTGGGGCGTTGTTTGGGCCGCATTCCTATTTTATTCCTTGTGTTTCTAGGATATCTAGTTTTGACTTTATTAATGTTCATTGAGGGTAGCGTTTTGTTAGTTAGGTAAGTTGCTGAACTGGTTCCATGTCGAGAGCTACTGTAAAACATGCAAAAACCTAATTACAACAAAGATTTACAAATAGTGACAAAAGTTCCCACATTAACAGTGTTAAATGCAGAACTTATTTGTTTCAAAAGAAACATGTTTAAACAACTCTTTTTAATGTTGCGATGTCGAGTAACAGCTACCACCGCAAATATTTTGTTAGTCTTGAAAAATACTATTTCAATACTATATTGTAGTTTAGCAACAGTAGAAAGAGCAGTAATGTGAGAATTACTACACTCCGGTTTTGAAGGGTTGGGGTGCTGGTGAAATAACAGGCACAAGGGACTTTTCAACCCTATGTCTCAGGGTGACAGGCGCAGTTGTAATGCCCCTCATATCTTTGCAATGTATCGCTAACAACCAGATGCACGACTCATGAAAAAAACGAACAAAAAACAAAAAAAAAAAAAAACAAATAATGTGTCCATGGTGTGTAAGCTGTGTTTATGTATGTTGCTGGACTGGTCAACAATCAATCAATAACTAAGTAACTAGTTCTCTGCTACATGTAAATAGTTATCAATAAAAAGTTATTATTGTTATTTCGGTTATCAATTTTAGATTCTCGCCTCTCCCATGGCCCAATAAAATTTGATTTTTTAATGGAAAAGGTGATCAATCAATCACCAACTATATGTATACTAGTTTATGACTACCCGGAAAAAAATGTTGCTGTTATTACTATTTATGTGTGCGAAAAATGAAATCCACAAATTAAATAAGAATGTGAATAAAGATTACGTTACAGGCGCAAAATTACCAGCTAAATTAAAAACTTAATAAAAGAATGCCTGTAACGTCTGTTCTAATTGAAATTGACATATTGTTTTCATTTCCGCAATCATATTATACTTAAAAAATCATTGGTTTTACGAGATTGTTCGCTTTTAGTTTCTCTTTTTTTCTTTGTCACAATGATACTGACATCTGCCATGCCATCACCAATCAAGCAAACTTTCAAACTATAAAAATGGTTGCATAATTTTCGAAAAGTTCGTATCACAAATTAACTAATTATGTGTAAATAGTGCTGAAATGAATCTATTGTTATCTTAACAGTCCGTAGACATCATAAATTGCATCCGTTCGTTATGCCCCCGTTTTGTTTGCACCCGATTTAGGTTAGTTACGATAAATGTAATTCAAATGTACTGGTAAACACAAAAATGCTTTTACTAAAATAATAAAATTATAATAATCCTGATGCTATTTCCGATGATCGATTAAGAAATGCGTTCGAAATTTTTCATAACTACGCCTGCAAATGAAAAAAGGCCTGGCGCCTGAAATTATGTCTTAGTTACGTTAATAGCTTTGTTCCGACTTTTGTTTAATGTGGTCTAACACGTGTTATTATTTTTTGTATAGAGTTAAAGTTCGTTGTTACAAGCGTGATACCTTTTATCAAAACTGCATACGCGGATTTACACTATCACCGACTATATGGAAAATGTGTGTTAACCTCTGTTAAAAATTATACTTTTATCAGCTAGTAGCTAAAGAAATAAATAAATAAATAAATAAATAAATAAATAACGCACACACTCAACATAGCCCCGCACTAGGGAAACCCTGTGTCGCGGGTGCCATGGACACACACATAGACAACCACAAATTACACCCAAACTCACGAGAGAAATAAATGTAGGCCATACAAACATTTCTCCCGGCCCGGGAATCGAACCTGGGACCTCTGCGTGGCAGTCCGGCATGGTAACCGTTCGGCCACGGAGGCAGTTTATAATCTGGTTAATATTTCGCATTTATGAAAGCATTGCTTATACCTACTGCGAACTTCTCAGTTATTACTCAGAATTCTTAACCGCTTTCTTGTTGTGTTAGTTAAACATCTTGACATCATCAGCTTTTGTGTAAAAAAATATGTCATGTTTGCTCTTGCATATTAATGATCAAACATTTTTGTTTATGACACTACGATGTCGTCATCTGGTGCTAGCTACTGAATCAAATTAGTTTTTAACGCTAAATTGGCACCAACAACGTCTTCTACATTGACTTTAATGAAGGTAGTCTTTCGATAGACGGACTGGCCCTGAGAGGCGGGTTGGTCTGCCCGCGTATGTATATGGCCTTTCAGTAGAATAACCTCTCAATCCTTGACGTATTTATTACGGAGCACGGCATCGTTTAAAAATCTCTAATAACAATCGAAGGAAACTGATTTTTTAGCAGATGGACGTAGTAAAAACGAATTTTTTTTTCGGAAATTTGTGACTTTTTTAACTAGTTAAGTTAAGTTCAAGTCAGTTTCAGGCCCCATAGTTCACTACCCGTATCTTCTGTTTCCATTGTCAATTAAAAAAAGGTTAAATACGAAATTTGTACCATTAAAAACTGATTTTCTGTGTGGACAAAATACGCTAATACATTTATTTTGGATTTCTTTTTTTTTCAAATCACTGTGAAACCTACAATACCCACCTACGAATACTTATTCTTACCATTATTCGTTGACAGCTCGAGGTGAATGCCACCCTCGGCGTATGGACGACGCGTATCTTTTACGCTTTCTACGCGCAAGAAGATCAGTGCCGGCACGTGCGCATAGATTGGTAAGTATTGTTTTTTTTTTATAAGCCAAAGGCCTTCCCCCTCTTTTCCCATTGCTCTCGATCTTGTTCCCATCCTCTAAGATCTTGGCCAACATCTGGCAGTCCTTTAAAATGGAGTCCAAGTCATCCCACCATCGCCGACATATTGATATCTAATTTAAAAACATTTAATTTACTCCCATCCTAGGGGCCTACTACGAACTCTTATAGCATTCTGGTTAAGTCCGTAAGTTGAATTGAATGTCAAATTTGTACTATGACCTCACAAAAACAGGTCCCATACAGTTTACTCTGACCATTCAAAAGCCGTTCATCTCATTTGCCGCGAAACTAAAGGCGTCAGCTGTCAGAATACGTAATTTAAAAAGTTAGTTATTATATTTATCTCATTAAAGCATTGGTTTTAAAATAATAGAGCCATCAGCTTAAAAAGATAACAAATAATTAAGATACTATACTTATTACTTACTGTTACTATAAAAAAATAACTCGGTAACTAACTTTTTGAAAAATGACGGGTTTTGTCACAGTTGTTACAAGATTTTAGGTTTTTTTTCTTATTTTTCTTGGCTTCATGGTTAGCGTTTCAGCCACTTACGATGTATTTGACTTGTGTTTTTGAAATGGGAGAATTAATTGTCTTCTTAGTTCTTTGTTATCTTTTTAAATTTTATTGGCTTGGTGTATATTTATTTTATTTGTTGAGCATTGACGAAGATTGATTGAAGAGACAATAATTAATGTTTAAAAAGTAAAAGGTTTGGGTAGGACATGATACGAATTCAAACAATTCAGTTTTACCACGTAAACTGAACTACGTGAAACCACGCTGATTCGTTATAAGATCATAGTAACGCTTCTTGTCCGTGGACCACCTGACTGGTTCACTGCGTTGAACCACGGGTAATTATTTCTTCCCGTAGTTCACCTCTTACGTATAAAATAGAAGAACTCGAAACTTATCCTTATTTAAAAAGGAGTTCAAGTCATCCCGCCATCTCCCATGTATTGATATCTAATTCAAAAACATTATTATTCCCATCATAGGGGCCTACTACGAGATTTTATAGCATTCTGATTAAGCCTGTAACTTGGTGGTGGTACACCTCAAATGTTAACAGTTTGATGTTGGTCATTATAATATTTATCATTTTAATAAATGTAGGTTTGCATATCTTACAGTTTGATACACCGAAAGCTTTTTTAAGTAAGCCCCCCGTCACAAGCTGTACAGCTGTATATATTTATTTACACATAAAATATATCGGAATAGGCAAAAATCAAAGATTAAACTTGTTGCACGAAAAATTTTTCATAGTACAGTGAGCTCCTAACCTATTGTTTCAATCAGATTTTCTTTACTCTATTTGTTGTGGCAATATTTCGCAGGCGTTAGCACAACAAAATCCTTTGTTCATATCATTCTTCAACATTATTTTATCTTTTTTTAACGATGATATCTAAATATTTTTTATTTTAATTACACGAAATATTACGGGTAAGATAAAGCTTGTTTACATTATTATAATGTCATTAATTTTCTCTTTCTATTCAATTAATAGCTAGTCCGTTACTGCACGTTCCGAGAGCAAAACCCGCACCTATGGCGGGATGTGGACTGGTTTGGGCTGTCTCGGCTGGGGAACATCTTCGAAGGCGTGCTCTTCGACCGCCCTGACGTTGGCCGCCTCATTATTGGAAGAATAGGTGAGAGATGCACACTTGTTATGATCTCCTGGTACTTCTTAAAGTCAGCATTATCTGAGCACACTCCTCATTTACGTCTAAATAATTTAAAGAAGGCAATTGCAGGTACTTCACAATTTTAAATTCTAGAAATGTGCCCCATAGCCGAGGACATTTCGGCGTAAAATCGGCGTGTCGAAAACGTATTTTATTTTAATATCACCATAATTGTTACTTATTTATTAAAAATAATAATTCCCTACTGGGCTCAAGCCGATTCTGCCATAACAAATGTCGGGGCTGTCTTTCTTAAAACAAATGAAAATAAATAAAAATATTCATTTGACCCCTCCATCTTATTTGATGATGAGTTGTTTTTTTTTCAAAATTTATTATTTACAAAAACATTGAACATAATTTTACTTTACATTCTTAAACCTAAACAGATTTGGCTGAGTGTTGCACTTCTTCTAAGAACAATATCTGACATAACAAAAATCCGTTCTTAGTACGCCTACACGAAATAAAAGCAACATACCCTTAAGTTTTCAGGTTTCTAGGACTTATAGTTTTGCTGTGTGCACTTGTATGTGTGTACGTATTGCATTCCAAGTCAATCATGTAAACTTGATTTGAATCTATCACTTAGTCATGAAGGTAAAGTCGGCTGATTAAAAACTAATTTCAAAACTGGAATGTGATTCAACCAGTTCATAAATTATTCGAATCACGCGAGAGATTTGATGTATTCTGATTACATAATATAAAGCTTTCGTAATAATATTCCGATTTCTGTTAGTAACAACTGTATTTATAGTACAGAATGAAATGATGAATTTGTGAGGAACTGGTCTTGGAGGTATTAAATTATTTTACTTGATACATTTTTGTTGATTAAGGTCTGAGTAAGATCTTATGCTATTAAAAAAAAACAATGAAACAACTTAAACTGCCCATTCACTACACTACACATTCTCGAAGTCTCGCAGGACGCATTGCAGGATTGTAGGATGACTTGCACGCTGCAATACGACTACATTCATAATCTTGTATTACACGGAAGGCAGCAAGACGAACTGCAATGCAGGATAATTAATGAATGCCCCCTTTTATTGACTTTTTTTGTAAAATGTAAGTGCGTATTTGACCTCCATCTCACCTGATGGAAAGTGACGATTGATACAATTTAAAAATTAAAAAAGTACTTTAACATTAAGTTAATAAAGTAATTGTCTCTTTACTTCAAGTTTTATTATTTATTTTATCTGAAATTAACAACTCATAAGTACAACGTAATAGAAGTCTGAATAACAATAGTAAGCAGACTCAGGTCGTATTCACATCACTAACCTATTTAAAGATATTAATATAATAATCATACTTAAAAAAACAACAAAAAATTAATAAAAATCCATTTATCACATTATATTAACAAAAAACTATATAGATATTAAATAAATAACTTTTTCACTACTATAAAGTGAACGAGATAATATTTTACTGATGCAGTACATAATTTGCGTTGAATAGATCAATCTCCAAACGGGTTGAAAGTTTGTTAAAATTATTACTCGCATGTCAAATTACCGCATTCTGCATGAGATTAGATAACGGAACAATTAAAGGTATTTATTATTAAAGAACGACCTTACACCTAAGGATATTGTTTAAGAATGTACTAATGTGTTACTCGATAGAATGTAAGTATTGTATCCGATCATATAAAATCCTGAAAACAGGCTAAAATAAAAATCTAAAACGAAATATTTAAGAATAAAATAATCTAACTTTCTACATAATATTTATATGGAGATATTTCTCTTTAATTGGTAGGTACTACAGAGAACATGCTAAATTAAATATATATTAATAGGCATTGACTTACAATTATATGGACGTCGGGTCCGCGCTAAAAAGTGTCCGCACTTGAGGCCCATTTAGATGGAGAGAGTTTCTCGTCTCGAAGATACGATTATCGAAAGAATATAAAAAAACTTTCCTCGTCTAAACATTTGCGATTATCGACCGTCCGCGTGAGCGATAATCTCCTCGCCTTTCAATATAACGTCTCCGTGTAAACAGAACTCGAAAGCAAAAATCGTATTTCGAGTTTCTGTGCCAGCCGTTTCTACCACGAGTGCAGCGCGCGATGGTGTTTTGATTATCACTGCTTTTCTAAGACAAGAATTAATGGAACAAGAGCGAAAAAAAAATTTCAAATAACGGTGAGTGAGTGAGTGCCTCTGTGGTCGAATATAGCGTGGGCAATATAGTATTTAGGGTGCTCTCGTAACGAATATGGCACTCCTTTCTAAATCCAGGATGAAAAGTCGTGCCCGCACTTTTCAAATAATGGCAAGATTTTGAGGTACCTATTTGGGGGTGCTCATTACGAACATAGCATTTATTTCTAAATCCAAGATGGCCGACACGACTTTTCAAGTAAATGTACTTTTCAATAAACACTCCTTACTAACTCCCCACTCACTCCCTACTCACTCCCTACTCACTCACTCACTCACTCACCACTCACTCACTCACTCACTCACTCACCACTCACTCACTCACCCACTCACTCACAACTCACTCACTCACTAACCACTCACTCACTCACCACTCACCACTCACTGACTCACTCACCCCTCACTCACTCACTCATCACTCACTCACTCACTCACCACTCACGCACGCACGCCCGCGCGCACGCACGCACGCACGTACTCACTCACTCACTCACTCACCACTCACGCACGCACGCACGCACGCCCGCGCGCACGCACGCACGCACGCACTCACTCACTCACTCAGTCACTCACGCACTCACACACCCACTCACTCGCCCTATAAATTTATCATAATTGTCAGTTTTGTTTGTGTCAGTAGTTATATAATTTAAAAAAAAATGATAAATCAAAATTATATTTCTATACAGTGCAATGAACTTAATATTATCAGCAGTTCCAAATTTGAATGATTTTTGCGTCATTTCGATATATCCATAGTCAATACCGCAGTAATCACTGAACTCGAATGGCAATTCTCGCACTCAAAACGGTTCGACCCGATTTGTACGATAATCGTATGAACTTGAAAAAATGTCATACGAGATCGTGTTTAGACAAGTCGAAAACTCGTAAGCAAGAATCTCCTTACTACATATTTCTCCGTGTAAACAGTCGAGGAGGCGATTAAGTTGCTTACGAGTCTCGTATGACATAATCGTAGGCGAGATTTTAGTTCTTGCCTGAATGTAAACATTATGATACGATAATCTTATGGCGATTATTGCTTACGAGAATCGCCTACGAGTTTTCGTCTCGAAGCGTGCGAGAAACTCTCCCCATCTAAATGGGCCTTAAGGCGCTAAAGTCGTATACAGAGCGCGACACTCCGCTTTAGTCTTCATTTGTTCTACGGACAGCGCGATACTGCGATGACATAACAATTTAAATTTCGAATAGGTTGACTTGGGACATTTTTTCGTGGTTTTTGTATTAGACCCGTCGTCCATTTATTTGTAAGTCAATGTTAATAGGTATTAAATTAACATTTATCCCTTAATTCTCCAACTGTCCAGCGGGTTAACGACACGCCCCGCTGCCCTCTGCCCCGTCAGTCGCCATCAGGCGCTTATCGAAATCGGATCTGTGTCTAATTTTCTCCGCCTGTTCCTATTTTATTCATATTAATTTACACCGCGCGGATCACGGGACCCGAGAGGCAGCCTCCACGCCTCACCTCCTAGAATCTAGGCTCGCGATGAAATATCTCGTCTTAAGCGATATAACAGCCCGTCCATAACAGTTGCAGTCCCACTCAGAGATTTAAATCGCAAAGATCTGAGGGACTCTGCCCCTGCGCCAGTCACCCTGAGTCATAAGCAATGGTCGGGAAAAGATGTTCCACATACATGTCGATATAGCTACAAGGAGCGACATACAGTTGTTAAAACCATCAAATATGAATTAGTTACTTTTTCGATTTCCGGATTTCCGGAAATGGTTCTACTTCACAAATGTACTGACCTAGGAAATCAAAGTCGAATTTTAAAGTAATTCTAAAAAAATGCAGTAGACAACTGACCTTGTGCGAAAGCAGAGAACAAAAAAGTAACGAGCATGGTTACTCTCTGCCCCTCCCTAGTTTTAGACACCGCACCGCGCCCCGCATATTGATGGACACATTGACGGAACGGTACCAAGGCTGTCAGTTATCTACTGCATTTTTTACACAGCACTAATAGAATTACTTTAAAATCCATCTTCGACTTCCTAGGTCAGTAGTTTGTCCTACGATGCAGTAAAACCATTTCCGGAAATACGGAATTCGAAAAAGTAATCAATTAATATTTGGTGGTTTTAAAAACTCTATGTCGCACTTTGTATGTCTATACATGTATCTACACACGTGGAACACTCTTTTCCGACCATTAGTCATAAGTTGCCGAATCCCATGCGCCTGTAGTCATTACGAAGATGCTTGGCCGTAACCCTCGGATCTTCGACAGAAGCTTTGGACCGCAATAATGCAGTGAACGCTCGTCGATATCATAAGAACACGTATACATGAAGAAAAAACTAATGGCAATTTATTAAAAACGTACGCTCTTATATATATAATGTTTCCAATTCCAGGTCTCTGGGATCCTGATAAGATCCCGGTAGTAGACTTCCTCCGCGGGATGTTGCTTCTACTGGAGATCGGCATCCTGTGCCCGCGGCTGCAGGTCTTGGGCGGCACGGCCTTGCTCGACTGTGACGGACTAATGATGAAACACATGCGGCATTTAACGCCCTCGTATGTGCAACAGGCAATTAGTATAATGGGTGTAAGTAATCGAGTGTTTTGGTGTCTTCAATCTGGCGCCCATTGACGGGACAGCACAGCAGGGAGTTTTTAGGTAACGAATAGTTACTATAAAGCGCTCTTGCGTAACAATGACATATACTCGTACAGCTTCATTATGAGCTCCATCAGCTCATCCCGCCCGCCCCCTTTTACCATCGGACATCTAGACGTACGGTAGGATGTCATCCCGAGTTGGCTGATATTTTCCTCAGGCGTACTAAGCGCTTTGACGACCTCGTCGAGTAGCTGCGCATCAATTTTCATAATGTCGCCATTTGGGTGTTTGTGGTAACGTCGTTGTTTCCGATTTCCATAACACATGTGCTTTAGCTTCTTACTTTGGGATCACAGCAACGTAGATATGTGATGTTGTCTAATATTACAAAAAAAAAGCGTTCAACTGAGATACGTAGCCTTGCATTATGCGGACAGGAATGGAATGTGACAGGTATCCTGACTGTTTTTCCGAGCACATACAAATCGGGTCCCTTTAAATTTACCCGAATTTCATTAATATGCGACGGAATATGCATCTTTTGGGCAAATTTATTTTTTACGATACCAAGTGACAGAACGAACAAGTTCGTTCGCCTGGTGTTAAGTAACATGCCTATCCATAGCAGTTAGAGTACCACTCAGAGCGTTAGATCTGAAATAGCCACTACGCCTGTCACCCTGAGACGTAAGTTGACAAGTCCCATGTGCCATGTAATTTCACCAGCGCCCTTATCCTTCAAAACCGAAACACAGCTCACATTATAGGTACTGCTTGACGGCAGAAATATACATCCCTGGACCAATTCTTTCACAAGGAACTCTACTGCTAGAAAGAGCTCGTTCCATCGCAAATCCCCTCTTTGCTCCGTGACAAGACAGTGATCATGAAGCTCTTACTATCAACCTTTAAAGCCAATGCTTGTGTTATTAAAAAAATAAACCTGTTGAAAGCCTAATTTTCTTAATTCCAGTTCAGCTTCCCGCTCCACATGCGAGGAGTGCATGTGATCAACTGCTCCAAAGTCTTCGAAACCCTCTTCTATTGGTTCAAACGAGTGATGCCTGCCGATGACCTGTGGCGGCGGGTTCACTTCCATGGATATGACCTTAATTCTTTACACAGGTACAAATTATAATTTTACAGACGTGTCATTTAGATTTGAAGGTCTTTTATCAATAATTACAGGTTTCTTACCACGATATGATTTCTTTTTATTTTCCCGATATTTCACACCATGGTCATGTGTTGACTGGCCAACGGCAGATGACAGCTTTAAGAACAGACTTATCTGCCTACCTTCTTTCGGCGTGTCGACGACTACCCTGGAAGCACTAGGAACGTTTAACCGTGAAGATGGATTTAAATTATCTAGAGCGTGGAATCCGGTTCCTAGTGCTTACAATAATAAAACAAAAATAGTTTTATTTCAGTTTCGCGTGTGGATACAGTGAGTGTGGTCTGTCGGGAACTAGTGAGTGACAATGGTAACGCCACAGGTAATCGAGATGAGGATGTCGTCAACAGCGAAAAAGAGTGGAGAGATTCGTCTGTTCTTAAAGCTGTCATCTGCCGCTGGACAGTGAACCCGTAACCAAGGAACGTGTAACTATTCCAAAATATCGGGAAAATAAAAAGAAATTCTTAATTATATAGTATTAATCATTCAGTGCCATTTCTATACCTCCAATGAACACTACTCCATAATTTTTGGATACGTTCTGTTTTTATTTTGCTTTTTTTTCTTTTTTTGTAACAAAATTGAACATTCTTTTTTTCGAATTTTCTTTTTTATTTCTTTATTTTTTCCATAAAATTCGAGAAGCATAATATTAATAAATAAATATCTGTTTAAAAAATAATATAAATAGAGCTAAAAATAAAATTAGCGGAGGTAGGTCAATGTAGCGGAGGTATAGATTTGTTCTGGGCTATAGAGGCCAGCTTTTTAGCACACTGGGATTTTATAAGGCTATGGAACGTCAAAAGAAATTTACATTGCTTCTTACAACTTAAAATATTCATTTCTCAGGTAAGCGAGAGTAGGAATCAAATTTATAATTCAAGAGCAATTTGTTTTTTCTGTGTAATTTGATTTACAAGAGTAATACGTTCAGGGTACACCATTGCGTTCGGTGTAATTTTAAATAACATATTCAAAAACATGCACTGAAAATAAAAATTAGTCCTCCACAAGCAAGTAAACTCACTAATAAACAAAGATTTACAAATTATATTTTAATGCATCTTTAACTGCCTCAGTGGCCGAACGGTTACCATGCCGGACTGGCACGCAGAGGTCCCAGGTTCGATTCCCGGGCCGGGAGAAATATTTATATGGCCTACATTTATTTATCTCGTGAGTTTGGATGTAATTTGTGGTTGTATATGTGTGCCATGGACACATGGCACTCGCGACACAGGGTTTCCCTTGTGCAGGGCTATTTTGAGTGTGTGCGTTAAAAAAAAGTATTAAAGATTATTAACATTACTGAGGTGTAATAATACTTCGTTTTAAGCAGTAAATACAAAGGTCGAACCTGCGTCTGTGCCTTACCAGGGCAACAGCTCTACCAACTGAGCTATGCAGGCCTTACGAATTTTTCTATGCGTTTGTTACAGGTCTTTCTTTTGTATCATGAGAAATCTATGAGTTTTTCTGCACTCAGCCAGGTATACGCTTACAGCTACCAGAGGTTGACAAGAGGTGTCGCTTATAAATTGTAATTTTGATTGTAATGAACATTGTGATGTTTTGTAGTCCATCTGTTTAGGTACTTAAATAAATGTAAACAATCTTGAGATGTCTATTTAATGAAATATACATTTATAAAATGATTTTCCCTTGCCTTCAAATACAAAATACAAATACTTAGCTTCATATGAAATTGCATGCCTATTTTTATACCTATTGATTTGTAAAGCATGTGTTTCAATAAAAAGATGTATCAAGATTGTTTACATTTAGTTAAGTATCTAAACAAATGGACTATAGTACCATAATTTTGCTTTTTGTAAAATTACTCTACTAGTTTATTTCTTAATATGAATAATTATTCATGTGAGCTGTACTTCCGTTTCTTGTAACAAAAAAGTCATTATGATAAACAGAACATTGAAAATTTATTAATATTGAATAAAACAAGACTTAATGATCGTACGAACCACCACTATAGAAGTGCCACTATCATTTTTGCACTCCAAAGTCGTGAAATAAGGCATTTTTCTACGATTTTCGAGGTTTTGCGCGAGATAATTGAACTCCGCGAACTGTTGGCGCTCGTGCCACGTAAACTAAGCACTTCTACTGTGTTTATTGTTCTGTGGGAATGTTTATATGGTCACATAATGTCACTATAAAAAGCCAAATTGCTTCCAGGTACATCGACCCTGAATGTCTTCCAAAACGGTACGGAGGCTCTCGTCAAGAAGTTTCTTTAAAGCAGTGGCTGACGAAGATCAAACAATACAAAAACAAAACTTTCGACGAAGAGATGGCTGGCTTAGGATACGCTACTGATTGATTTGAAACTCATCGTGTACTGGTTTATTATACTTTTTAAAGCACTATCCAATGTAAAGAGACACATGTCACCAACGAACGTGTCATTTTAAATTGGTTTTTCCCTTTAATAAAATTATTGACCAGTAAAACATAAACGTTGCTGTATACACTGCTCATATTTTGGATCTCTAGTTTAAACTTAATTTAAAGTTGTGGGGTATTTAATTGTATACACTAGGTAAGACTAGGTAAGAAAAATCGGTCAAAACAGTGTATTGAAATTTGCACCTTCTTCGGTGTCGATTATTTATTTTAAGACTATATTGACTTCGAAAAGTATGTTGTCTTGGTACTTGGTACTTGGTGCAACGGGCTGGTATCCGTATGTAAGTAAGTTGTATGTATGTATGTATGTATGTAAGTAAGTATGTTGTCACTGCCACGTTAACTGCGCTAACCGAGGCCACGTAGACCTCTTCTCTCGTACGTTTATTAGGGCACAAGGGGTGTGCCGTTAACACACGTTGCACTGCAGCATGTATGTAAATGCAAGTAGGACGATGGGAAGAAGGAGTAGGAGATGCAAATTGCAGTGCAAATGATTGGAGTACTATTAAATAATGGAAATAAAACGACCGCGTCCGGACGAGACGAATATTATACTCATTTATTGCAAAATATACATCGATCAACTGTGATGCTGCAGTAAGCATAAATCTAATACATATGATATCGTGCGGGTTTACTAGTGCATATGCATAACAAAATGTAAATCATAAAAAAATTACGGTTCCACCTGTACTAGGGGCACAATAGCAAGTGCTGCATGGGCTGTGTTAGGTTAGCAGCCACATTGAGTTAGAGTAGCATCCCTGCACCCCTATTTACACATCTTGTCCTTGACTCCCACCTGACCTGTTGGTAATTGCTTTTGACGGATATAAAATCGGAAGACTTTCGCATTTTTAGGTGAAACGCCAACTGGAAATAAAAGATAGGCTTGAAAGTGAATGGTTTATTAACGTATTATCATACATTGCATTTATAAAACGAAGGTACCATAATATATATGTAATTTAACTCTTATGAAGTGTAGCTTAAGTGTCTACACAACCTCAAATGGCTTTAGTTGATATCGCATAATAGTCAAAGTTTTGCAACAATCATCAACAACACAACAAACAACAAATCAATTGCAGTTTGGAAAAGATATATAGTAAAATTGAGAATATACACTGATTACTATACGGTGTGAAAAAACGATACGAAAAATTTCAAAAAAACACAAACCTACATCGAAATTTTACAAGAAAACCGCTGTATTGTATACATATACCAATGATTTTCTTTGTATCGACTGAACTAAATGAAACACGTATATGTATATCAAATGTATATCATTATACAATGATATACATTTGCCGAATGGCTTTAATTTCGTTTGTAAAAAAACTCTGAAATAAAGTCAGTGTACCTGAAGCTCTACCCAAGCAAAATGAGCCATATCGGTACGGGAAAAATTTTAATTAGAGCTGAGATAGTATCGACTCTTAATTGAATCGATCACACTTTTTAATTGAATCAATTGAAAAATTGAAATCAATTCAGTCAATGAATTTCAATGAATAAATTCATTATTTAAAATTGTTGCTGCAATCACTGAGTTATAGATAGGCTTAAAAGTTTTTATGTAAAAAATTGTGTTAATATAAATAAAGTTGTGATTTATTCAATTAAAAATTCACCAAACGACTCTTGATTGGATTCCGTTTTTTTGTTTTTCAGTGTGTGTTAATTCTATCACACTCGACGTTATGCACGTAAGAGCAACAAAAGGATTGAGGAGAAATTTCAAATTATTTAAAATGTAAATAAATCATTTAGATCATTTCGACTCTTAGCAAAGTAATTCGAAAGCTGTAAATGTGATAACTTTGTTAGTATATAAGTATTATTAACACTACCCATGTGCCTTTATCAACTTTAATATATAATAAATAAAACTTATTTTTCGATAAAATTCGAATGCACTAATTGAACTCACAATTCCTATCCAAATCCTATCCACGAAATAAATCCTGCTGATTTTTTATAACACCAAGTGACGGGACAATCAAGCCGTGCGCCTGGTGGCTATCCAAACAATGTTGCCAGATGGTTACGTTTCTTACACTTCTCGTAACTTTTGACCATCTCGCGTAATACTGCCTCTGCGCCCATCACCCTGAGACATAAGTTGAAAAGTCCCATGTGCCTGTAATTTCACCAACACCCTTACCCTTCGAACCCGGAACGCAGTAATGTTCACATTACTACTTGGTGGCAGAAATAGGTAAGGTGGCATTACTTCCCTGGACGAACTCTTTCACTGAAACTCTCCTTACTGTATCTGTCACGTGTCACAGCTCGATAATAAGTACCAGGATACAGGGGGCATCGAATGCCGCTCGACGCGCAGTGGCAGTGCCTCTTAGATCTCTCGAGGTACTGGAACACGCGACTTGTTCATTCGGCCAGTTAGTATAATAAAAAATAAAAAAACAAGGAAATTTCAAAGAGTTGATTAATAATTTTTATTAAAAAGAAAAAGGAACCGACTTCAAACTTTGCTTATATACGTATACAAACTGAAACTAAAAAAGTCAACAATCGGTTATCGGAAAGTGCGCGAAACCGGATTTATCCACTAGTTTACCACCCTGAGGTGGAATATTTCCTTCAAATTTAAATGGGACCAATACCGAGGTACCCTCTTTCCAACAAAAATCATCAAAATCAGTACACAAATGGAGTACTCGCGTAACATATACTTAAAAAAAAGAAAAACACAAGAAAAAAACAATGGAAGTGCTTAAGCCTCGATTATTATCAGAAACGCTGTCGCCAAAACGCACACAAACAAAATGATAAACACTACGAAATCTTGATAATGATTGGTCATAGTTACTAATTTAAAAATATGTAACAAATTCTGGATTGTTAATATAATTTAAACTTTACGCAGTCGATACATCGCTGAAAGTTCAATACCTTTATTGCAAGTTACGACGATATGAAAAAAAAAATCGTATTTATTTGACATGCAAAATACATTATAAAATACAAACAATTATAAACTATCAAACAATTCATTCATAAATAATAAAACAAATAGATAAAATAGGAAATTTAATAATAATAATAGAAAACAAATTAAAATTAATAAGGAAACAAAAAAAACGTATCAAAAAGGTCCACGACTCAGCATTTGAGGACTATGCTAATTACGTAACCCTCGCTGATATTCTGCCACGGCCTGTCAACAAACAGAACACCACAATTAAAATTAAAAAAAATAAAATTCAAATACTAACACAATCAGACAGTAAATAAATTAATTAAATATGACACACAACATTTACACACGAAAATAATCAACTTGAATAATAAGAACAATAATAGTAAATTTAAATTGCACAATACCAAATATACACACACAGCCATTGTGCAAAGCCCACGTCCCGAGTGACTACTACAGGTAATATTTTTGGTGCGGCTATAATTGTTTACTCCAAAGTAACACAACAAGGCATTATACTACGATTTAAGAAAATTTGCGTAAACAATAATACAACCATACCGTGCAAAGCGAAAATGGCGAACCTACTCCTTTTTTCAAGTCCGTTAAAAATTTCTGTCCTAGTGTGGAAGTTCTTGATAGTTCCCCTATTCAACAGTAGATGGCATAACGAGTGAAGCACCAGCCCGCACTCAAAAAATACCTTTATTGAAGTCAACAATAAACATTCAATTAATCCTCAATAAAGTAAGTAGGCGACGATGATTCAAACCATCCATTTATTACTGTCACGACAGCGAATAAATATTAACGTATTACCTGTTGATTTCAAATGTGTTTATGTAAACAATGCAAAAACCTTGGAGTCTTTGAATCAACGTCAAGGACATTGAGATTCATTTTATTACAATTTTAATTTTTAATATGTCATCACCTGTCGAGTAGCTGAAGAGCTCCTTGTGAATGAGTCATCCAGCAGGCTTAGCATGAGCCTGAAGACAAAGCCTGCAGGCAAGTACTGCCACTTTTATTTTCACTGCCGCCAAGGAATAATGTGAGCATTGTTGCGTACCGCTTTTGAAGGGTTAAGGGTGCTGGTGAAATTACAGGCACATGGCGCTTGTCAACTTATGTCTCAAGGTAATAGTGCAAAGTCAGAATCAAAGAATCATTTGTTCCATAGGTAAATTAAATTTACACTTGAAAACGTCGAGCAGTAGCTTAACAGTAGCTTAACCATTTAAGAAAAGAACTTCCCTGAGAAGAACGAGAATTGCTCTTTTGAAATAAATTTAAATGCTATGGAATACACTTTGAATCAAAATTGTCGTGTCGTGTCGTCTTTCCATACATCTTTATCTAACACGTAGTCTTTCAATTTTGTAATATAACTTTTCAATCAAAATATTTTTAATGTAGTTTTTAAACTTAGTTTTAATCTTAATATATGCTCCGGAATCTTATTGTAAAAACATATACAGTTCCCCATAAAACATAAACAAGATAAACAACTGTTTATCTTGGCTAAACGAAATCGTGGTACCACGAGTTTGGACTTAGCTCTAAGTTTAATATTATGGACATCTTCTTTCTCATTGAAATTATGTATAATTTTTTTTCTGCGAGAAACCCGAGGACCTAGACGGTACATAATAGAACGAATCGCTCTTTTTTGCGATACAAATACGGTTTGAATATCTGCCGCGTTACCACACATGAGAATTCCGTAGGATATTATACTATGGAAGTAACTAAAGTAAACTAGTCTAGCAGTACCTACTAACATCGGTAAGCTCACGTATTCTGCGGACTGCGTACGCAGCGGAGCTTAGTCTGCTGGCCAGGGAAGGAATATGTGGAAACCATTGAAGTTTACTATCTAAGGTCACTCCCAAGAAGACTGCTTTATTAATAAAATTGCCAGTGGCAATATCCATAAGGTCTTTGCGATTTAATACTCTGAGTGGCATTGCAACAGCAATAGACAGAAGGAGGGCTTGTTCGCCCCGGCACTTGGAATCATAAAAAAACCTGTTTTAACAAAGTATGTATACAATCCCACTTTCAGTAATAAAATAGCGAAAAGTGATGTTAACAGGAAACTGATAAAATCGATTATAATAAAAAATTATTGTACCCTTTTTCATATCAATTAAAATTTAATCCTTCTAGGCACAGCGGAATAGCTCTTTTTAAAATATACCCCAATTCACCAAAACTCGAAATTCTCATATTTCGTCATTTTATTATTGAGACTGCGATGCTATAGAGACGGCGAAGTCGATATAGTTATACTTTTTCGGATCTACATCGCATATTTTCTTCTAAATCGTTTTATCAAACAAACCTACGTTTTGTTGCCAAATAGATTCCAATTTTTCCTGGTTTATAGACATAAATATAACAACAATAACAGCCATAAACCAGTTCGAAACCTAAAACAAATTATATAACATAAACTTTTTTTTTTGTTGCAAGATCAAGGGAACACTGCCACTGTCTCAAAACTCGGTCGTTGCGCAGAGTAGTGAGCGATGCAGAATTCCGTGAGAAATAGCGGTAAACGATCTTTTGGGGCATTATAGTCAAGTTAGCCTGCATACAATCTTACTATTTACGTGCAATGGTGATGAAAAATATTAATAAAGGGAGAATACACAAAACGAAGAAAGGATTTAAGGTTAATAGGTACCGTAAAATCGCTGTTTCAAGGGCGGGACTCCGAAAGCCGCATTCTTCGTAATTATTTATTTACCGCCCTTGATACACAATAAAAATAAGTAAAGTATGATTTTATATGCTCTAATAATGTAACGCTTTAGCTTATTGGTTGTGCATTATTAATTCTTTACCTTAGGTATGATCTCCACAACAGCGGTCTGCCGAAGAGGTTCTTCCTAAAATATACCATGCTTATACCTAATCCTTGGCGTTTTTAATCGAAATTAACAGGCAACATACATCGAAACTGAGACTGGCCCAAGCCTAGTGGCTGCCCTTATGGATAAATAATAATAACTTTATGTTTTTATTACTAATACAAAGATCGAACACTTAAATGTCTTCTAGTAAATCGTACCAGACGCCAACTACGCCACGGAATGAACCAGCGGACATTCATTCAAAAATACTATCTCACAGTTTTTTACTATCTCACGGTCTTTGCTGTAACCCGAGCGTTGCCTGGAAGAGATTGCTATATATCAATAAGGCCGCTTGTTGTACCTGTCTTTATTTTTTGTATTATTTTGTATTTATCCCAGCGTGCAATAAAGAATATTTATATTGTATTGTATAGTTGCAATAAACTTTACATTTGCTTAAATCTTCCAAAAACGTGGTAATATCGTCAGCTAGCTGGTTATCTATGGCCGTTTTGCACTGCTACAACACACATACGTAACTGGGTGTCAGGCAGTGCTACCACTCTATCTATCTATCTATATGTGTTTATGTCCAAACTTCGTATGTTACATACGTTACCTTTAAGGTATTTAAAACGTATATCTCTGTACGCTCTCCTAATCTGTACGCAGTCTAATCAGCATTCGGCCTGCGCGGGAGCACGTTCCGCAAGCCATTTACATCATTACACTCGATCAGTAAGGTGCTGTCGCAAGTACTGTCAAAAAACAAAAGCATGAATTAAAAACTTTACTTTTTTTTAAATGATATTGTAGTGAGGTGATTGTTTTATATTTTTGGATTGATATAACACGTCGAAGTGGTAAGTAAAATTTATTAAAATGTTTAATTGTTTATGTAAATAAATATAGAAAGTGTTAGTTTTTATCATGTTTTTATTCCATATAAAAATTAAGATTATAATTATGCCATACATTACAACTATAACCAGTTTGATAATGCTTTCGATAATTGTCAATTTCTAGTTAAATAGATGGAATGAGTACTAATTACCTCGTCTGATTTTTCGTTTTGTAAATATATAAATCATATGAAATTAAACTACATATTAAATTTTAAAAAATAATAACAGTCTTTTTCATCTTCTTGTCGTATGGCATACACTAAAATTCAAATCATGATGAATGAAATTTGTCAATCGACGCAAAGTACAAGTTATTCCCATCTGATCCCCTAAAACCGATCCTCTGGTAAAACCGTTTTATTTTATATTATTTTCTATTCCCATCGGATCCCCTGCGCGTGAAATCAATCAAAAATAAATTATATTATTTTAATCCCATCTGATTTCCTGGTACTTACGAGCTTATTCTTGGCAGGTATTGTGGTACGGTCAACAAGAAAATGTGTTTCTACATATATCTGTGTATGTGTGGTTCTGGTGGCACGGTCAACAAGAAAATGTGTTTATACATATATATAACAATATGGCAATATTAATGACTATTATAATAACAATGTTTTTGTATAACAAAAGCATTGTATCTAGTGTGTGGCATATCGCTACAATCTGCGCACCTGACAATTAGGGATGTCAACAAGAAATATATTTTCTGTAACTTTCTTCCATATGGAAATAAACTAATCGTAATTCATCATCATCATCCGGAAGATCAACCGGAAGATGTCCACAGCTGAACATAGGCCTCCCCCAAAGATTGCCAGACCAACCCGCCGCTCTTACTAGGTCATCCTTCCATCTAGTAAGGTGCCGTCCTACTGAACGCCTTCTCTGAACGTCCCATTGAACGGTCTCCATTCAAGAACCTTTCTGTCCCAACGGCCATCAGTTCTACGAGCTATTTGCTCTGGCCACTTGCACTTCAACTTGCTAATCCTTAGAGCTATGCCGGTGACTTTTGTTCTTCTACGGATCTCCTTATTTCTGATTCGGTTACATAGAGAAATGCCGAGCATTGCTCGCTCCAAAGCTAGTTGAGTGACTTTGAGCTTTTGATGAGGTCCATAGTAAGTAACCACGTCTCAGAGCCGTGGGTCATCGCTGGCAACAGGCACTGCTCGAATACTTTTGTCTTCAACGACTGCGGTATTGCGGACGAGAAGACGTCCCGGAGCTTTTCGAAAACTGCCCAACCGAGTCGGATTCGACGATAATTGTAATTCAGTGTCACTTATTATTATTTTTAAATATACAGCACAACACCGATTGTAAGTAAATAAAATACCTTTGAATCATATATTTAATTAAAAATGTTCTCGTCGGTAATACTGCGGTGTTCCCGGAGACGAGTGAAACCTTTAAAACCAGCAAGTTGCTGAAGCATATATCGAGTTCTTAGGTTTTTGCGATTGTTACACATAGGAAATGATACTATCCGGAAAAGATTTAAATCGCGTATATTTGTTTTTTCAAACAAACCGGCGTATCGGGCCCTTTACAGGTCTCATGGTCACGGTTGAGTGAGGTGGTACAGTGTTCAACCAGTTATGTCTAATATTGATGCAAACCACCCTATTTATTTAATACGACGAAACGTGTGTATATTAAACGTATTACATATCGCTGACTTTAGTAAATAATGTTATGTCAAAAATATTTTTTTTATTTTTTACTTATACGGCTATATTCTGAATGTACACACGCCAGTACATCAAGCTACACATTGACATATCTTGTTCCGTTGCAATGGAGGCAATTTTCGAACAAAAATTTGTAGTCTGATGTGCCGTTGTCCGTATTAAACTTTATTGTTAACAAGACACCAAACTGCGTATTCGTTAAAAAAATCACCACACCTGCGCCGGCGATAGCGCTCAATACAATACTTAAGCTGCTAACAGATTGACTGTTTGTAGTTAATGTGTGAAGTCGTATTCAACTTGACAACTTAACAACATGACGTTGATAACGACTTCAATCTCGGCTGCATGAAGTCGGTTTCGACTGCTTGCTGTTGTTAACCTTTCTATAGGAAGCACAAAAAGTGCCATTTTATTTACCTTTGATCGGTTCACAAATGAGGCAAGCAACATTTAAAAAAACTTTAAAAGCAGGATTACTTACTTTTAACAATACAATAATGACTCCATGTAGCTAAATGCCCTGTCTACAATATTTAAAGTACTTCAGTGTCACATAGCCGTGTGACATTCTGTATATGAAAATAGACAGATAATATTGAATCTACATAATAAAACTTATGACTTGTATACATAAAAGAACGCTTTATGTTTTCAAACTACACAACTTAAAGACGTATGCACTGTACTTACGTTCAATTGCACAAACTTCCATTAAGTTTGTTGCTACACTAAATAACATGTTGTCTCGAGTTTTACTGTGATAAAATAAAGAACACAGTTAGAGTTAACGACACTCTGACTTTACAAAATGTTTCTCCAACTTATTGACTCGTTTTCGTAATAAAATGATTACAAAATACGGATAATAACAACAATGTTTAATTAATTTTCTCTTTACGTAGAAGGTAAATTATGTAAATGCTTACTGACTAGAGAGTTTTAAGAGTCTATACCACCTGAAATGGGTTTGGTTGATTCCCCACAACAGCGAAAGTATTCAATCAACCACTTTGGAAAAAATATATATACTAAAATTGAGGATATATACTGATTATTACACGTTGTGAAAATACGATTCTCAAAAAAACGAAACCTCGAAATTTTAAAAGAAAACCCGCTGTATTCAATAGGTACTTAACATGTACCAATGTTTTCATAATATCAACTGCACTAAATAGAACACGTATAGTATACGGTATACATTATTTCAAACGGCTTTAATTTAGTTTGTAAAAAAGTAAATTCTGAAATAAAGTCAGTGTCTCTGTTGTCGACCCAAGCAAAATGAACCTTATTAGTACGGGAAAACATTTAATTCGAGTTGAGATAGTATCGACTCTTAACATTAAACCTTATTTGCGAGAGACTTAAATATAGATAGGCATAAAAATGCCTGTATTACCTACAGGTCACTAGGACCCATTCCGCGAAGTGTATTACAAATAGGTTAAACTCAGTTTTACATAAATTAGGTAAGTAGAACAAATAAACAGTAAAAATAGATTAAAATGGATTGCTATTAACTACTTACTTTTATAATTTGCTTGTTCAACAACAATCATGATACATTAAAATTTTTGTTTTTAAATTTTGTTGTCATCATCAACCCATTAATACGTTCCGCTGCTGGGCACGTCAAATCTATTTTCAGTAAATAAATTTTAATGTTATTGAAAATAAGTTTAATTTTAAAAAGCGTTATTTTAGCTTAAGTGACATTATTGTTTTGTACATGTGAGGAATAAACAATTTCGGCTTGACAATTCTACGAGACGAATACATTAAATTATTTCATATCAATGTCATCATTATCATCCTCACCATGAACCAATTTATCTTCACACGTTATCGGTGGGCTGTAAACCTTCTTCTACGTGCAGGTTTCGTCATGATGTCAATCTTCACCTTTTCGGTGAAACCGAA